TTGTGCTCACATTCGACGTTGTATGAATTGCATAAGTCGCCATAAACTGATTGATAAAATTTCGTCTTAATATGCTAATAAATAATAAATTTTTTTTCAATGCCATTCTCACTTTCTTGTTTCGAACGATCAGTCCTATTTTTGCTCAGCACTTGTAAGATAAAATAAAAGTTGAGTTCGATTGTGTTGCAATGAAAAACCTTTTCCTTCGCGATCTAAAATCAAAATATTGTTGTCGTGTTACAAAAGTCATGTATTTAAATCCCGATCGAGGAACTTTCATACTGCTCTTTTGTTATGCAAATGGTGTAAAGGTGAATGTTTCCATTGGGTGCAATTTTTCCATCCATGAGTGTTGACTGTCTGCTTCAGGATGGCGTCGAGTTATGAGCTCAGTGATAGAAGAGTTCCACAGATGGCTGCTAGTATACTAGTGGAAAAAGTGCCAGTGTGAAAGCTGCCTCTATACCGTGTCTGCTTGTAGGAACTGTAGGTCATACAAGTAGCCCATCGGTTGCAGACAGACTGCAAGTTATTTTCTTTTTGCTATGATTGATAGTGAGGACGATGAGTACGTTCTGTTGATCTGGCATTACATTATAAATGCGATTTGGTCATGTGACAGTTGCAAGGTTGCATTAGTCGATCACTGATGTTGCCGAGAATAGTAGTTTCTTCCAGATTCGAAGTTTTCTCTTCGTATGGAGGAGCTAATAGAAAGTGGATAGGAGCTTTTGTAATGATTATGATACCCGATTTCAGTGCAGTATTACTAAGCTTCCATCTTGTAACTTGTGTCTCGTTCCTGCAAATCGGCCATTTTTCGATGCTGATTGACGCTTTTTGGGAATTATCTTTAGTTGGTGAGAGTAAAATGAGGCGAAATATTGGTGGTGCAAAAGATAAAAACGATGGAGAGAAATGGATATTCGTGAGTCTAAAAACAAATCTAATAGGTGGAACGGTGCAGTACTTGTTTGGTAAACATGATCAAGGCCAACGTTACTAGGTACCGTAAGGATGTTTCAGAATATTTTACATCAGCATACTATAGATCGAATATCTTAAACTAGCGTAGTCGGTAATAATTGCTTTCTCGACATAAATATCGAAATGGATGATTTTGTATCATTCGGCTATTATGATCAACATATTTATCATTGACGCTTGACAGTGAAGGAAGAATCCCATGAAAATAATAATTTAAACCACTTTATGATATCAGAGAAGCTGGAATTACAAACATTCTTATGGCAGTATGTGACTACAATAGTGAACATCGGGTGCTGATGTCCTTTGCGTTAACGACCTGTTCAAACCACAACCGAGAGCGTCTATAGGGGAAGGTTACCGCTAAGATAATGTACCGAACGCTCAGTACAATGTAGTTGGAAAAACAGCTTTATGGACATTTTCTTCGCCAACTCTAACTCATTCAACTAACTACCGAGGAGCAGAATCTTTGGCGAATCTGAATTTCTTCTAACCGCCGCTGAACTCTGGTCGGACGTTTTGAAACGTTGGTGATTTGGAAGTGCAAGGAAAGACACACCAGGGTTATAAAATATACCACTGCACTTGTTAGTGCTTAAACATGTCCCAGTCCTGGCCAACTAATTGGCGCGACCTTGTATGCCCTTTTCCCTGCAGACATCTATATACCATGGAAGCGTGAGCTCTATACGTGATCCTCCATGGGCGACTAAATACAAGATACGGTGAAATGTTGTGGTACAGTCCGCTTCAATGACCTCCACTTGCCTTTTGACGCTACCCCAGTATCGGTGTAAAGTGAGTAAAATCTTTCTCGTACTTTACGTAATGTTCTTGTCGTGTAAATCCAGTATCAGTATTTGAAATATAGCTTTTGCCGCCCGAACAGGAAGGCTTCCAGTCGTGGTAGCAGCTACCCCAGAACATCGGGTTATATTTTTGTTTATTTATTTTCCTTTCATTGTTATCTTGCTTTTAATTTTTTTGCAATCAAATGTAATACTAAACAAATAAATAACTTCGGCGTCGCTTTTGTACTTTATTCAATGTGAAATTTATTAAGATTTTTAGAGTACTTTTCTGAACGAAACGCCGCGATCCGGTTCAAAAACGATTGCCTGTCACCGGAACCACATCGATCGACCGACGGCTTTCGTACAGTCGATGCAGACTCTGTCGAGAAAATCAGTTGAGAAATGTCATCAGGTGCGAGAAAAAATTGGCACTCATATATTTAATTAATTATGGCTAGCTTCTGTCACTTCTCTGGATTCGTACGGCGGAGTGTACATTATCCCCTTTTTTCTGCCTAACGGACCATTTAAGTCGGCTGCGATTCAATTGTGTTTGAACACCTGCTGTTCTTAGATGCACAAGAGACTTGACGAGTCCACATGTTCGTCGCATAAACGGGTGGTTTATGGTTCGACGAAATGTGTTTTGTCTGTTACTGAACTAATATATGGAAACATACCATATACTGGTGCAATACCATACACTGCTGCAGATATATGGAAGGAGTCCGTTCCAGACTCCAGTTGTATTCTGCCGAAGCTCAGAGTCTGGCACAAGATCGGTAACATTGGAAGCTCTGTTTGAAGCGTCTGCCTTCGCGATTTGAAAGGAGAAGCGGCCATAGAAGATGAAAATGGAGACCAAACTAATACAGAATCAAGTGATTCGTGCTCATTTGAATCACAAGCCAGGTGCGCCGTAGCCTGACAAGTAAGCGAGATGAATACCTAAGGAAGGTTAAATATGACGTAACTATCATAGTTTTTCCATGACTTCCTTTAATTGATATGATAAGATTCTTTTTAAATTTGCTTTTAGGCCAACTCCGCTTTTGCCGGTCCCAAGACCGTTTAGGCAAGGAGAAGGGTTGGAAACCGTGTAGAAGTTTCCGTAAAATTTAGCCACCTGCAATTCATGGTATTGACGCCATCGAAAATGATAGCGGCGGATACGATACATGTCGCCCATATTATCTAGGTCCGCGCAGGTTGTTGGTAGGACTGAGACAGACTCGAAAAGTTGGCGATCAGAACCTGTTCATCGGCCCCTGCCACCCAGGTGCGTAGCGGCGCAACAACCGCCGACTAAGATCGACGGAACTATGTCAGCAACGGATTTCCTAGCCGATCTGAATGGAGGAGGCGGACACCGCGACATCATTTTAGCACTTCAGAAAGACTCCACGACAACGACATCGCCAGTGCGAGCTAAAAGTCGGGAATTGGAACATATCCTCACTCAGAGGAAAAGAACAAGAGTTAGTTGATGAGGCCATAAAGCACCAACTCGGCATTGATGGGCTCTCGCCAACGAAGCGCAAAGCTCTTGATTCCTGAATCTCAAGAGATGGAAGCTGTTCTAATCAGGCGTCGATAACACTACTCGCGCTCAGGCCGGTGTTGATGTTCTGGTGGAACTGAATCTCACAGGTAGAATCGTTGATTGGAAGACTATCAGCGGAAGGGCGGTAATCATCCGACTGAAGCTACAGCAGGTTAAAGCATTCACCTTAGTACAGGTCCATGCACCCAGTTTTGAAGGAGAATATTATACCTTCCTTGACGAAGTGCAGTGTCCTGTCTGAAGTGCCGAATACAAAGTCCCTCATACTCGTTGGCGATTTTCATGCGCATGTCTAAGTAGACCCTGAAAACTGAAACGGCGTGATGGAAGAAACGGCCCTAGCGACTTCAAACCGCATGAAGTTGTGGCGGTTTTGTGCAAACAACAGATTATCCATTACGAACACCTTCTTCAAACATCAAAGAGTACATCAGTACACCTGGTTCCGGGAAGCTTGTGCACAGAAGTCGATGATCGATTTGATAATCGTATCGTCTG